GAAGAGCNCATTCCAAACCTTGCAAAAAATGTTAGTCTTAATAAAATCTGCAACTTTAGAATCATTAGTACGGTGGCTCTTGCTTCCACCCATTTCGACACATAATCAACCGCAATAAAATATAAACAAAACCATGAATGAAGGAAAAGGGACCCCATGAAATCTATGCCCCACACATCAAAAATTTAACATTAAAGATGGACTTTGCGGGCATTTGGTCTTTTGGCCTATATTTCCAGTTCGTTGACAACGTCACATGCAATGCAAAATTTCTAGCATCCTTAAAAATAGTAGGCCAAAAAAACCACATTCAAGTACTTTACGTCAGTCCTTTGAGTGCCAAAGTGACTCCACATGCATAAGTGTGACAAAAGTTAAAATAGACTGAATTCAGAAATGCACACACCTACGAATATTTGATCAGAGCATATTTCCATAATAAGGATCATCCCAACATAATTTCGTGCATCATACTTAAGTTTATCACGTTTGGTTTTTTATTTACTCACTTAAACTTTAGATGCTAAAATAATTAACTAAATCCGCATACCATGGCATACTAACCTCAGGACATCATTGCTCGTCCGGGAATGTCTCTGGGATCGGCACAACCTCCTCTTCATGACCAACGGCTCAAGTGATCAGCACAATTCACTTCCTTTCTTGTCTCGGATTTCGATATGAACTTTGGAGGAAGAAGCTCCATCGAATAAGCCTTGGTTTACCTCTTCTTCGTGAGCAAGTACTTCAACGCTGCATGATCAGTGTAAATTATTACCTTAGTGCCAAGTAAATAAAAACGAACATCTAAACAAAAACAACGGCAAGAAGTTTTTTTCCGTTGTGGAATATTCAATTGAGCATCGTTCAAGGTCCGAAGGCATAATATATGACGTGTGGTTTGTCCTTCCTTTGTCCCAAACAGCGCCTAGAGCATAATCGGACGCATCGCACATAAGCTCGAAGAAATGCTCCAATCTGTGCCGAATGATGGGGGCCGAAGTTAGCATCGCCTTGAGGTGTATTGAACGCCTTTCACACTCCTCGTTGAATTCGAAGGGACACATCCTTTGGGAAGTCGCATAGGGGTGTGGAAATCTTTGAAAATCTTGATGAATCGCCTATAAAATCCTGCGTGGCCAAGAAAAGAACGACCTCTCTAACCGAAGTTGGAGAGGGTAAGTAGCGTACAAGATAGTTTTCGATTTATCAACTTCAATTCCCTTTCAGAAACGATGTCCCTAAAACGATGCTTGTTTTACCAAAGTGACACTTTTCCCCAATTTAAAAACAAGGTTCGTTTCCACGCATCGTTTTAAGATTAATGTGAGATTTTCCAAGCAACCATCAAACGAATCGCAAAGACACTAAAATCATCCATGAATACCTCAATAATCTTCTCAATAAACTCGGAAAAGATACTTACCATGCATCTTTGGAATGTGGCCGGTGCATTGCATAATCCGAATGGCATGCGCCGGTAAGCAAAAGTACCAATGGGCACGTGAAGGTGGTCTTTTCTTGGTCGTCCCGAGCTATGACAATTGATTGTATCCCGAAATAACCGTCAAGAAAACAATAAAAAGAATGACCGGCTAACCTTTCTAACATTTGATCGATGAATGGTAGTGGAAAATGATCCTTCCTTGTGGTGTTGTTGAGCTTCCTATAGTCAATGCACACTCTCCAACCTGTTTGAATACGGGTTGGCCACAAGCTCATCCTCGGCATTCTTCACCACAGTAACTCCGGACTTCTTCGGGACAACTTGAACTGGTGAGACCCCAACGGCTATCCGAAATTGGATAAATCACTCCACAATCGAAGAAAGCTTTATAATCTCCTTTTTCACGACTTCCATCATCGGAAGGGTTGAGCCGGCGTTGAGCCTCTCGAGTTGGTTTAGCCCCCTCCTCTAGAAAATATGCGATGCATGCATGTTGTAGGGCTAATTCCCTTAATATCGGCCAATGTCCATCCAATGGCTGTTTTGTGCTCTTTCAACACCCGAATCAACTTTTCTTCCTCTAATGCCGTGAGTGATGAAGAGACAATGACGGGCAACGTCTCTTCATCTCCCAAGAATACATACTTTAAATGATCCGGCAACGGTTTAAGCTCAAGAACGGGGGCCTGAATCACAGAAAGGTAACAACGTATTAGTGGAAACGGGAATTGGAATTGGGTTAGAAGGCTTACCACGATGTTGGGGCAATGATTCCAAGGCAGCCACAAGCTCAGCATGCTCCTCCTTAGGTACGGCCAGATTGGGCTTCATGCCAAGTCCTTGTGCAATCGTTGTTTCAAGGGGATCGTCTTCCAACATATCAAGATAATCCTGCGCCAATTCATCCAAATATATCAATAGAAAAACAAGAATGATCATCTATAGGAAATTTCATAGCTTCAGAAATGTTAAAGTTAATAATCTCCCCATCAAATTCCATTGTCAACGTCCCTTTGAACACATCGATCTTAGTGCGTGCTGTTTTCATGAAAGGCCTCCCAAGTAGAATCGGCAATGGGGTGACATTTGGTGAGTCCTCCTTCTCTTAAGACATAGAAATCCGCTGGAAATATCAAGTTATCCACCTGCACCAACACATCTTCCAAAACTCCTTTCGGATATGCATTAGAACGATCGGCTAATTTGAATTATAACAACCATCGTTTTTAAGTTCTCCTAAGTTCATGGATGCATAAATTGAGTATGGCATGACGTTAATTGAAGCTCATAGATCTAACATAGCATGTTCAAATTTAGTATTGCCTATAACACATGGAATTGGTAAACTACCTGGATCTTTGCATTTAGGAGGTAGTTTTCTTTGCAAAACAGCGGAAACATTCTCACTTACCTGGACCACTTCTTTGTTCGAAAATTCTCCTTCTTGTTGTGCATAGTTTCCTTCAAAAACTTGGCGTACCTAGGTACTTGCTTAATTGCGTCAAGAAGAGGTATATTGACTTGCACTTTCCGAAACGTCTCCCAAAATGTCTTTCTCGTTTCTCCTCCTTCTTGGATTGCTTCAACCTGCCAGGAAAAGGCACGTTTAGTGGAATAGAACTAGGAGAAGTTGGAATTGAACTTAACCTTGGCCGAATAATATGGATTGGAAGTGCAAGATGGCTGCGGCAAAGGGGTTCCCTCCTTGCCGTGGGTGTTGCATTGTGTGTTCTCCTTCAAACTGCAACTTTTCATCCTCTTCATGACTTGTTTGGATGCTTGGGGGTTCAGTTCCAACTTGTTTGCCACTTCTCAATGTGATTGCTTTGGCGGTTTCGAATCCCCCTTTTGGATTTGCAACGGTTGAACTAGGGAGTCTTCCTTGGTCTCTCGAAACTGTCCCATAAACTCGGCAATTTGCCCCACTTGCTTCTCCAACTCGTCCACCTTCTTGTCCCTAGTCTGCATGCCCCCCTGCGCATAGAAGTTAGTAAAATTAAAAATTTGATCATTATCAATAGAAGAACCTGAATTTTTGGGCGGTTGTGCTTGGGTTTGATTTGGTGCAAACGGCTTTTGATAAGAACCCGGGGGTTGTTGCCTAAACGTGCTTTGTTGTTGGCCTTGTTGGGGTTCTCGCCATTGAAATTCGGATGATCACGCCAACCGGGATTGTAGGTGTTAGAAAAGGGATCATTCCTTTGTTGGTATTGTTGCCCAAAGCCCACGGCATTGAGGGTCTCCCACCCTCCATTCTCAATCAATTGTGGGCACACTTGTCCGTAGGGATGTCCTTGCATGGAACATACGCCACATGCACTTACATTTTGAACTTTTGGCCCTTCACAACCTGAGAAAGCAAAGTAGTAAGGTTAGCCATTTGATTTTGAAGTTCGGTTATGGCACTTACCTCATTCACTTGGTGTTGCCGGGGTGCCTCTTTGTCCAACACCTTCGTATTGTTGAGCGTTCAAACGCTCGATTAGCAATCAAGTCTTTGCTGCCGTGGGGGTCTATGTCCACCAAGGCTCCCTCCGCCGAAGCATCTAGCATTTGTCGTTCGATGGTAGAAGTCCCTCATAGAAGTATTGTAGAAGAAGCTCCTCCTTCATTTGATGCTGTGGACAAGAAGCAACAAGAGATTTAAAAACGTTCATAATATGTAGGAAAAAGACTCACCTTCTTCTTGTTGAATTCCACTTATCCTTTTTCGTAGGAGGATGACTCGAGAAGTTGGGAAAAACTTCTCTAAGAAAGCTCGTTTCATGCTCTCCCAAGATGTGACCGTTCCGGGAGCTAATTCATATAACCAATCTTTCGCCTTATCCATAAGAGAAAAGGGAAAGGCCTTCATCTTCAATATACTCCCGTCGACATTGATTGGAGTCATGCTTGAAACACCCACCACCTCGATTCTTTCAAGTGCTTTGTTTAGGATCCTCCATGGACAACCCATGGTACTTCGAATATGGTGGAGCAAACTCGACTTTAACTCGAATTCCTCGGTCTTTCCTTGGGCAGCCGCCGGATATTGAATACATAGAGGTGCGGCATTGTCCAATCCCGAAGCCGAAAGCTCCTTGATTGTACGATTGTCTTGTGCCATGACTGTCTCAACTTCACCCACTTGAGCCGTGGGTTCCTCTTCCTCAATCTCAACTTCGGCTTCCGAATTTGAACTTGATTCACTAGGTTCTGGATTCTTCCTCTTTCGTCTCAACTCTCGTTCAAAATCGTCGTCAAAGTCCAAGATGTGTTCACGAACCGGATGAGAGCTCCGAGTCATAAACTAGTACCTAAAAACAAGAAACAAAAACAAAGTAAAAACTGGACTCAATTAAAAACAAATTGAAATAAAAACAATCCAAGGGATTAGCAACTTTGCTAATCCCCGGCAACGGCGCCAAAATTTGATGTGAAAATTATGTTGACACTCAAATTAACCCTCTTTTTATCAATTGTAGCAAAGTATGTAAGTAGGGATCGTTCTAAACCGGGGATTAGGAGGGATTGCAAAATCACTTGAAAACAGACTCAAAACGTAAAAAACAAGTTTAAAACACTAAACTAAACTCAAAGAATGCAAAACTAAACTTTAAAAACACCAAAACAAACCAAAAGACTCAAAACAGCCCAAAAACACTCAAAACTGCCTTAAAACCACAATATGGGCAGTTTTGAACACTAGACTCAACCTTGGACGAAAATTGGTTTTATCTTGACCTAAACACTTAAAAACATAAACTAAAGTGATTTCTAACTACTATGACTCAACCTAAGTAAATGGGGATTGATTTTGGACGAATTTAACTTTTAAAACAAAAATTAAAAACAAACTTAATGAAACGATTTTGATGAAATAGAAGGGAAAGGCTAGTTAGAAGGTTCCTTCTCCACACATGAAACATATGCAACCTAATTGATTTTCCAGTTGTTCTTTCAATAAATGAATGACAATGTTCCAAGTTAATTAGGTTCCGCTTAAATTAACTCTTAGATTTCCCTAGATTCATTGGATTGAATGGAATACGCATTACAACCAAATTATTCCTCATCAAAGTCCCTAACTATGGAATACGCATGATAGAGACATTCAACAAAGATCATTAAGTTCAACGGAAATCATAAACATTGACTAGGCATTCATAACTATGGAATACGCATGTTAATCCAGCCTAGAATTTACTTAACGTGATTGTGACTAGCAACCTTCACTACTTATGAATATAAGTTCATAACGATTAGGTGAAATTCACTTATATTCTAGCATCAAATTCATGCATGTAAATTAAGCATGTGCATTCTTAATCGGCATACAAAAATAAGTTATCAATCAAGCAGTTAAGCAAACCACATCACAATTATAAATCACAACTGAAGGTAATCAATTCATATTAAAACATATATTCATGGCTTTGAATTAACCTCTAGCCAAGTAAGGGGATTAGTTCCTCATGTTCGCAAATAACAAAGACAATAAATTTAAACATTGACATAAAGATAGAAAACACCTAGAAACGCTCCACAATCCAAGCTCCTTGAATGGCATGCACGCTCCAAGTTGTCTTCCTTCTTCTCCTTGCAAACTCACGGCACAAGAGGTATGAAGGTGAATGGTGTAGTGAAAATCTGGTAGAGGGTGGTGAATGAATAGGTGCGGCAAGGCCTTGTATTTATAGGCTGAAAATTCACATTCCTAGGTAGTAAAAGGACAAGGTTTTAAAGGCCTAAATTGCATAGGATAATAACATCCAATCCTATAAGGAAAAACAAGTCAAAAACCCAAAGGGATTGGGAGATAATGTGCAGCAGAAAGAGTGTGAAAAGATAAGGCTTCTAGAAACCAAAAATCCCAAGGGAAATAGGAATTAGGTGCGGCAAGGATCTAGGTTCTAGAAGGATAATGCAAGGCAGATTTTTAGGCTTCTAAGAAAGGTTCTTAGGTGTCATCTTGATAGGATAAGATAAGGTCATCTAGAAATCCCATTTTAAGCATCCTAATCTAATTAGAAACCCTCCTAAGTGGCTGGAATGTGGATAGTTTAGGATAAGGATAAGATAGGATAGGATAAGGTTTGATTGGATAAGATAAGCTAAGATAAGGTTATGGATGAGGTTTTGGATAATACTCCTTATCTTGAGCTGATTCTTTGGCTTTAATTCTTCTTCTTCATGTAGGAAACCTTGCTTGAGTAGGAAACTTCATATATCTAGGACTCCATCTTCAATTAGGACTGCTTTAGTGATTAGGAATCCCAATTCATTTAGGAAATCCTTCATTCAAGTCATTTCCTTCTTCAACTAAGAAAACTTTGTATCTTCAATTCTTCAACTTTGAAACGCCTTCCTAGCTTCACCAATTCCTCAAATTCGTCCATCCCTTGTGCTTCATGTGCATGAACTCCATTTTAGCCCAATTTTGCTCCAAAATGCTCCAAATTGCATCCTTTTGCTCACTTTGTCTCTAAAACCTGAAAACACATGAAAATAGCTTAAAAGACTAACTTAACTAAGAAAACACAACATAAATGCATAAGAACTAACTAACTAAGGCGCATAAATATGCTCCTATCAACACTATATCGTGTGCGAAAAGCATACACCAAGGAATATCATCTTGAATATGTCCTGTTAACTCAGCCATTACCAACGACTTAAGGATTGTTGATGCATAAAATCAGTGAGAGGACTTTGGTACAAGGATTAGCTTGTGATATTCGCTAGATTGCTCTGGTCATTAGTGTGGATAAGTATGTAAATGGATAGAGACAGGAAAGCAAACACAAGATGTACGTGGTTCACCCAGATTGGCTACGTCCACGGAGTAGAGGAGTTCTCATTAATTGTGAAGGGTTTACGCAAGTACATAGGTTCAAGCTCTCCTTTAGTGAGTACAAGTGAATGATTTAGTACAAATGACATAGGTGCAAGCTCTCGTCTTCACTTGCCTTAATTGTCTCATAGGTAGATGTGGCATCTTCTCTGGAAGTACACTTCTTCCATCCAGGGTTGGTATCTTTAACTGGTGGAGATGCACAAGGTAATGTATCAATTTCACTTGAAGCTTACTTGTAGTTTCAGGCTTGGTCAAGCGCGATACAAACCATGTAGTAGGAGTCCCCAAGTCTCAAGCTAGGGGATCTGCTGAAAGAGGTGACGACAAACAAGGTAAGCAATCAAGCAAGCAATCAGTCCTTCAAGCAAGTTTGATTTCGAGATTTCCGGTTCCGGCTGATTGTTCTTATTCTCCCTATCTTGCAGGCAGCATGAAGGATAAAGAGAAGAAAAGGAGAATAGATGATATGAGATACTTTTTGCTTTTTGAAGAAGTAACTTTCCACAGGGCTTTGATTCTTGAACTAGCGCTGGAGGATTTTCTGATGTCCTCCAGAGTAGGCCAACTGGAGAATTTGAGGGTCAAAACACGTCCCATCAAATCTAGAGTACGTTCGACCCTGCTGATATGGGATACTTTTGCTGTTGATAAAGTAGTGGGTATGTTTGCTGTTGATAAAGTAGTGGATGTATGTTCCTGTTCGCTTGTCTCCATATGCTTATCTGTTTCCTCAGGCAGATTGTGGTATCTTCTCTGAAGCATAAGATGTTGAAGATGGGTACTCGAGAGCAATGTCAGGTAAGTAATCAGGTAAAGCGGTTCCAGGCAGTCAGTTTCCTGACTGGAAGCTTGATTCCAAGTGCTGACTGATTGCTCTCTTTTCTCCTTGTCTTGCAGGTATAGAACAAGGCAAAGGAAAAGACAGGGAAAAAGCATGCATGATATGGGATCATACTTGCTTTTAACCCTGATGATATGAGATATTCTTGCTCTAGTGTAGCTTGTTGGCAGAGGTATTATCGGGGGGAAAGAAAGCTGAGTATTTCGAAGAGGCTTCGTTGGGAGTGCCATCTCAGATATGAGGAAGGTTGAGCATTTTTTGCAGGTCTGCCTGTCCGTTGAGGATGGAGGTCGACATATATAGGAGTTTCCCTAACAACAACAAGTAATGTAATTCCTTTACCCTGCTTGGTCATAGCACGGTAGTGGGAGCTGCCAGCTTCACGTGTGTCAGAGCACTTTGAAAAAGTGGTTATGTGGTATCTGGAAAGCTGAATGATGTTGCGTGTTGAAGATTACAGATAAGCTTTATCCAAGGAGATCTGGCTCTCGAAGTTGAGAAAGCGTTGCCTCTTCGGTTTTCGTACAAGCAATCCTGTCGGGGATCTGGCTTTCGAGATTCAGAAACGACTCTTCATTTTGAGGAAAACAATCTTGCTGGAGTCTAGCTCTCGACAATGGAGAGCGGTGTCTCTCGAGATTTTTTGAGAAAGTAATCATGTTGGGAGTCTAGCTCTCTAGATTCGGAGGACGGTGCCTCTTCGATTTTGGAGCAAGCAATCTTGTTGGAAGTGTTTTCTCGATGTAAGTAAAGGTTGGGCATGTTTCCTAGTCTACCCTTGCCAGAGCACAGAGGGTTCACAAGGACTTTCCATTATTAATAGCAGCTGTGTTTTCCAGTGTAGTTATAATATGGTAGCTAGTTTCTTTGTGTTAATGTTGTTTCTTTGCTATTCTTTTACCCTTCTTGGTCATAGCGATGTAGTGGGAGCTGCAAGCTTCACGTGTCTAAACTTTGTCAGAGATCTTTGGCAAAGTTATCTGTGGTACCCATGAGCTGATGGTGCGTGTGGAAAGCGGATGATTGAACAGTAAGATTCATGTGCATGTGACAGGTGCTGACAAGGCTGAAAAAAGCAGGTGCCTCTTCGATTTCTGAGATCGGCCCTCGTGGTCTCTGAGCAGCCCAGCTTTTGAGAAAGTAAGCGCCTCTTTGATTTCTGAGATCAGCCTTCGTGGTCTTTGAGCAGCCCAACTTTTGAGAAAGCAAACGCCTCTTCGATTTCTGAGATCGGCCCTCGTGGTCTCTGAGCAGCCCAGCTTTTGAGAAAGCAAACGCTTCTTCGATTTCTGGGCAGGCGCCTCTTCGATTTCTGAAGCTCCGTCGAGTGCAGATTTTTATAGAGGCTGGCATTAAGTTCCAAAGCACACTTGAATCTTCACCAGTAGAAGCTCCCTTCTTGCACTTCTAAGATCTTGATTTGTCCGACCTCTTCTCTCTTCAACACCTTTGAAAATGGCTGGCCCCTCCGACCGTCGTTTTAACTTGAACCTCGTTGAAGAGGCAGCCACGCCTTCTCCAGACAACATATGGCGCCCATCCTTCTTATCCCCTACTGGTCCGCTTACCGTTGGGGATTCCGTGATGAAGAATGATATGACTGCTGCGGTGGTGGCCAGGAACCTTCTCACTCCCAAAGATAACAGACCACTTTCCAAACGGTCTGATGAGTTGGCTGTTAAGGATTCTCTGGCTCTCAATGTTCAATATGCAGGTTTTGTGTCTAATATGGCCCAGCGCCTATTTGCTTGAACCCGCCAAGTTGAATCATTGGCGGCTGAAGTGATAAGTCTCAAACAGGATATTAGAGGGCTCAAGCATGAAAATAAACAATTGCACAGGCTCGCACATGACTATGTTACAAACATGAAGATGAAGCTTGACCAGATGCAGGAATATGATGGTCAGGTTTTACTTGATCATCAAAGGTTTGTGGGTTTGTTCCAAAGGCATTTATTGTCTTCGTCTTCTAGGGCTGTACCGTGTAATGAAGCTCCAAATGATCAACCTCCGATGCCTCATCCTTCTGAGGTTTTGTCAATACTGAGGCTCCGAATGATCACCATTCGGTGCCTTCTCTTTCTGGGGCTCTACCGACTGCTGAGACTTCTCCTAAGCAACCTTTGTGAAGGCTCCCTCTTGTTTGTTTATTTTGACTCATGTATATGTACATATTTGTAACTTATCGGAGATATCAATAAATAAGCTTTGCTTCATTTCAACGTATTGTGTTAAATACACCAAAGCTTTCTTCACTGAGTAGGGTCGGCTATATGAATCTTAGAACGCTATTGTGCTCGGTCCTGTGTCATGTCCTCCGTTAGATCCCAATACTCTAAGTCTTTTCTTAGAGTCTCTTCCAAAGTTTTCCTAGGTCTTCCTTTACCCCTCCGGCCCTGAACCTCTGTCCCGTTGTCGCATCTTCTAACCGGAGCGTCAGTAGGCCTTTTTTGCACATGTCCAAACCACCGTAACCGATTTTCTCTCAATTTTCCTACAATTTGGCTACTCCTACTTTACCTCGGATATCCTCATTCCTAATCTTATCCTTTCTCGTGTGCCCACACATCCAACGAAACATCCTCATATCCGCTACACCCATTTTGTGTACGTGTTGATGCTTCACCGTCCAACATTCTGTGCCATACAGCATCGCCGGCCTTATTGCCGTCTTATAAAATTTTCCTTTAAGCTTTAGTGGCATACGACGGTCACACAACACGTCGGATGTACTCTTCCACTTCATCCATCCAGCTTGTATTCTGTGGTTGAGATCTCCATCTAATTCTCCGTTCTTTTGCAAGATATATCCTAAGTAGCGAAAACGATCGCTCTTTGGTATTTCTTGATCTCCGATCCTTACCCCCAACTCATTTTGACCTCCATTTGCACTGAACTTGCACTCCATATATTCTGTCTTTGATCGGCTTAGGCGAAGACCTTTAGATTCCAACACTTCTCTCCAAAGGTTAAGCTTCGCATTTACCCCTTCCTGAGTTTCATCTATCAACACTATATCGTCTGCGAAAAGCATACACCAAGGAATATCATCTTGAATATGTCCTGTTAACTCATCCATTACCAACACAAAAAGGTAAGGACTTAAGGATGAGCCTTGATGTAATCCTACAGTTATGGGGAAGCTTTCGGTTTGTCCTTCATGAGTTCTTACGGCAGTCTTTGCTCCTTCATACATATCCTTTATAGCTTGGATATATGCTACTCGTACTCATTTCTTCTATAAAATCCTCCAAAGAATGTCTCTTGGGACCCTATCATACGCTTTTTCCAAATCTATAAAGACCATGTGTAAATCCTTTTTCCCATCTCTATATCTTTCCATCAATCTTCGTAAGAGATAGATTGCCTCTATGGTTGAGCGCCCTGGCATGAACCCGAATTGGTTGTCTGAAACCCGTGTCTCTTGCCTCAATCCAGCAAAAATTGTTTTTTTTTTCATATGGGGCTGAGAGACAGAGCCCGGATAGGGCTCGGGGAAAGGTCCAAAAAAAATCCCAGCCATGCTGGGTATGCTTGGCAGAGGAAAAAAAACAGGAAAAAGGTGGACGGCGCCACTGCAGGTGGTCGTGTCGAGGTTGTTGGAGCTCAGAGTGAGTCACGGTTGTCGTGGACAACCACGGAGATAAGGAAATCTCAACGTATCAACAATTATAAAACCCTAAAAAAATTGAAATCGAATTAAAAAAATCCGACGAGATTCCGGTGAATCTCAGTTCAATTTGAAATGTGGGACGACTTCTAGTCGTCGACGTGAACCAAAGGTTCAAAGCAATGGCTGCAGGCCATGGTGTGGCCAATGGACACCATGAAAGGTGTCGGGTTGGTTTGCTGGGGACGCGATGGGCATCGGGCTCTCGGCTCGGGAAAGCATAGGGATGCAGGCTGCATGCCTTGCAAGAAGATGGGCTAGCCATCGCAGGCTGCGGGCCTGGTTGCGTTGTAGCCTTGCGTGATGCAAAGGCACTGGTTCGAAGAACCTTAATTCCCCAATCGCAAAATTTTTTTTTTTTTTTTTTTAATTCAATTATATTATATGCATGTATAATTCAATGAATCACATATTTATTTTGATGCATATGCAAATAATAGTTTCAATACATGTACATATGTAAGATTCAATTCATGACAAATATCAAATTCACATAATTGTAGCAATTTTGGTTATGAAGCATACACAATTTATGTAGAATCTAAAATACGTTAAACGTAAAGTTGGGTCATGCATCATGGTGAATGTTCATGCTATCAGGGCTTGCAAAATATCGAGTTAAAAGTCGTTGTTTGGAAAGAACCTGATTGCGTGATGATATGGATGAACTGGTTTGATGTAGAAAAAAATCTCCAACGTCAGATTCCTAAGCGCAGTGGTAGGAGCGTGCTGATAATGTGTTGTGGTCTATTTTTATCTAACAAAATAGAGAGGGCCGGCGGCAGTGGGAGAGAGAAGAGAGATGTGTGTTTGTACAATTGTAGGGGAATGTGTGTGTTGTTATCCCTCCTACATTGTGCCTTTATTTATAGTAGTAAAGGGAGAGAAGATATTCCTTCTCCTCCAAGTAATACAAGTTGTAATAGGAAAGGATAACTAGAATCAAATCTAATATAGGATTTACACAATCATACTTATTCTAGGAATGTTTACAACAGTGTGTTTATTTAAGTGTTAAATAAGTTTCTTATGTTAAGGACTACCTCTCACAATCATTTGATTAAAATAAATCCAACAATGCTTTCTATTTGTCATTCTTTTCCCATTTATGTTCGAGATACTCTACCTGCATTAAATTGGTGATGATCAATTAAATATGGCTCAAGGCTCACGCATGAGAAGGTTGCTCAATCTTAGCTAATTGCTATTGGGTTAGATGAGTTTTCGTCGGTCGTATGACCTTTTTCAGTTGTTCTCTATAAGTAAAGATTGCACCTAAATAATAGAACCCAATTCTATGTTATATTTATAATCATATCTAAAAAATGAAAACCACCAAATAATATCATGCTTGGATTTACCAGGTCAATTGATCATGTCAATGTAATAAATTCAAAGAAATATCCATGAGATCGAGGGCGAAAAGTGCTACGAAAACATTAAACTTAAAACATAAAATTGCATTGTAAGACACACTTACACATCACACAACACTCACCACTCAGATTGGTAGGCATCATCAGATTACATAATAATGAAAATGCCCATTATTCAAGTCCCAAGGACGACACTACGAACCACACAAACACAACGCATAAGTTCATAACCTCGTAGTATAGTCATAAGATGACCTCGTAGACTCAAAACAGCAAACCCTTCAATGATGCGCGTTGATGGGAGAATCAGTGTGGCAGCACTTGTAGCTCACGAATGTCTCCATGGTGCGAGGACACTCTGGGCATTTCATGGTCTCCGGGACCTTTCCAGCAACGCTCGGGATGTCAAGGCGGCAGCAGTGCCTCATAGTCTGAATCACCTTCTCGTAGTATGCTTTGAACGAGAATTCAAAGCCCTTCTCCTTTATGAAGTTCTTCCATGTGTCGAAGTCGTCAAGGACCTTCAAGATTGTGAAGCCATGGCCACTCACCACCACAGTGGACCCCTTAGTAAGCACAGCCCATCCACCCTCATTTTTGTAGGAAAGCAGCTTCTGGACTTCTTTGGTCACAGTGTCAGTTTGCTTGTTGACTTTGGTGAAGAACAAGCTCTCAATTCCATTCCAAAATCTCCCGAGAATTCCAAGGTCTTCTCCGCCTTTCGGGCTCTTGCCAACACAAAATAGCTCAATATTGATCTTCAATTCCTTGATGAAGGGGTCATTGGCAATGGTAGTTGCTTTCTTTGTGAACTGCTGGATCCAGTCATTGTCTTTGCCTCCATAGAAGAAGATGTACTTCTCCTCTTTGATCTGCTCGAACAAAGAAATAAAAATTATACCCACAAATTTGAATTAAAATTGGTGCTGTAATGCTGTGGAATTGTGAAAAATGAATTGAATTAATTACCCAGGTCTGTATGGTTGGGTGAATATCATTCACAATGGGAGTGATCCATTCTTTGTCATTTGTGAGAGTATCTTCTATTCCCTTATGAAAAGGAAATGCCTTCATTCCATGAATCCGAATCAAGTGGAGAGCATTCGTATTTTCCACCTTGCCTTGCGGGTTCATCACTACCACAGCGGGCTTGCCCTTGAAGTGCCACTCCTCCTTGATGAATCTGACGCCGGCTACAGGCGCAAAATACTGCACAGTGTACCATGGCATCTTGGCCCTCAAGACCTCGAACTTCTTTCGTAGGTCATCAGTCCATTGCTCCACAATAGGGATCCACACAATCTTATACTTATCGTCTTTCTTTGTCCCCTCATAAACTGGTTTGACAATCGAAATGTCATCATCAGAAATGTCAAGGGTGGAAATGAACAAAAGCACATACTTCCTCCTCAGCACATCAATGCTAACCTGTTTGAAAAATTTATGACAATGATTACATTAATTAGCTACATACACTACAAACGGTAATAGTAAAATTTATCAAAGAGTAGTAACGTGCTATGAGAGCAAACCGTTTTGTTAGTCGAACCATCAATAATTGGCTGCACGGTATCCTTAGTGAAAATCAAGGCCTTGAAAACCTCCATAACTTCGGCAGGGGTCTGAAAAAGTTTCCTCAGCTTCCGGTACGTCTCCGCCTCCTCTGTTTTACACAGAAAACACTTAGTTTTCAGCAATGCATATCAAGTGTAACATGTATGTGTACAACAGTACAAGTAGTCAAGTACTCACCTATCTGTTTTTTGCAGATTAACAATTGTATCTTAAGCTTGTTGAGGATGTAGTGGATTTTTTGAGCAAATTGGGACAAATCATATGGCTTCTCTCTACAACGCAGGAAACCAAGTCAGATAAATATTACTTGTTTTAAAATTGTAATGATCATAAATATATACTTATACAGGGTAATTGGTTTGGAAATAAAGAACTTACTCATCACTGGTTAGAAGGGTGATCTTAGTTGCACAAGAAAAAATAGTTATGATAGACCAATAGACATCGACCGGTATGTGATCCATTGCAATTGCCAATGCTGGCACATCCTTTGGATCATAAGCAGAAAGCTTCTCAAGCTCAAAGATGCACTCAATCACTTGCAATGTGGTCTTGATCAGGACGTTGAGTTCGACAATAGCTTGCCTGCGCTTCTGGAGGTCCGTGGGCTTGAGAAGGACTGGCACTCTCTTGAGGATTGCGACGGACTTAGCAAGTAGGTCACTCTGTTGAGTTTGGGCAAGGAGCCAGAACTCTCCATATTCCAAAGCAAATGCTGCAAAGGCCAGCACTGCCTTGGCTTCCCATGAATAAGTTGAGAGCTTGTTGAGTATTGCCAAGGTTGACTTGTGGGCAATTTCTTCACCTGGTGGCTTGCATGACATCTGAAAGAAATTGAAGATAATTAAACCCGTGATTTTTTTTATAGGAACTATAAGAATTGTTTTTTTTTTTTGGAAAAATGAAAGGAAAATTAAGAATTATTCAATTTGTTATGCAATATTGTAAATAATGACCTCACAGCCAATGGACTTGAGAGTGCACAATGGAGAACTGAAGGTGGCTTTGGGGGGCTTCTCATCAATGGTTTCAACATGTACTTGGGTGCCCTGCAACAAGTCACTAGTAATTATTCACCATTTGGAAGTTTGCTGATACTTAAAATTAAACTCAGCTCAGTAATATAATTGCAAGATATTTCTTACTTCTAATCACTTCATTAATCAGATATTGTTGGATTAGTCCCAAAAAAGAAACCAGATATTGTTGGAGAAAGAAGTAATATTATACATTTGGTTTTTTACTTTTTGATAATGATTTGGATTCCAAATCTTTAAAACTTCTAATTTTAGTGAAGATTATTATTAATAAAATCATTTTCAAGCTTTTAATTTATACGTGTCCGATTTACCAACAGAGAATTGTATGTGGCTCTTCTGTTAAATACAAAATTAAAGAGGTCCAGAGGCAACAACATTATCAGTATCAATAGGAGAAGGAAACGTCCAGAAGTCAGCGTTCAAGAGCTGTATTGTAACCTAAGGAGAAAAAGGTGCCAAAGAAGATAAATCAAAAGAAAACATCAAGGTGAAACAACTTGTCCAGCTCAATAATGTCTACTGTGATGAGTACTTTTGTGGTAGACTGGGTATCTTAAAAATGGAACATACCAACCTCTGTGTTCGTAGTACTGTAAATCTTGTAATCGTTTACCTTAATGTACTAAAAGGCTCTAAACTCATTTTGTTTTGGAAAAAAATAGCTCGTTTGAAGTTATGAGGTGGAACATTTACCATGTTTTTATCTAAAACAAATTTCTAAGAGCAGTCTCTACATTTCATTAAGAAAATCAATTTCTAAGAGCAGTCCCAAATTAATTTTTTCCCAAGGTAAAAAGTTAAGTTTAATTATAAGAAAAGTGTTCTGATAAAATTATTACAAAAAATTCTCTATATTTCATTAACGGAAAAGGAATATTTTCTAATAAAAAGTTAGACATAAAATAGTTTTCAAATTTTTTTTAATGATGCAGAAATCCAATGTTCTAATAATTTGAACAAAACGTGAGGTGCTAATAAAACATGCCATAGGTATTGAATGGTACTTTCCTTCTACATATTTTGCAGTAACATATTTTAGAACTATGACTCTAGATCAAGTTAATTATTTCCTTCTTTTGGTTTAGTGCAATAACTCCCGATTCGACAATGCTTTTAGGGGATCTTCTATGCTGCTTCGGAGTATCCGATATTCTAAATTTTTAACTGTAAGATATTTGGACAAAAACTAAGACCTAATGGTTAAAAATCCATAACTATTCTATTTTCAATAGAATTTTTGTATTTTTCGAGCATGCCCCCAAAAAAGCTATCAAATTGCAAATCGTTAGTGTTGGGAACCAGGGCCCCTTTAGGTTAATTTGCTGCCTCAGATCGGACTGAAAACGACTACTTAATCGTTGGATCTATATGTCAAGTACTCAAACGAAACGTCACTTACCCACTTCATCTCTTCCAATTTTCAGGACAAAACCAACTGAAATATCAAGTGCCATAGTATTATTTTTAATAAATGCAAGGGAATCTAGCACAGCCATCGCAATTAAGAGCTATACTAGTTATTGTCAGGTAGGAAATTGAAGTTAACAGACCCTAGTTTACGTTTCACTCTAACTAACAGTCTTCCCAATATAAACACACAGACTATTCTGAGCTTCTTAAGCAAGCGCTACCTCGTTCATTAAGCGTTTAAGCGACTATAGTTAACATTTCTCTTTTAATTCGCGGAAGAACATAGAGATGTTACACAATCTCATACCTGCACAATGCTATCAACGATCTGGGTCGAATGCTTGATGATGGTTTCAGTGACAAGGAAGAGAGAATCAACATCAAAGGAGTCGTCCTCATGGACGTGGGTTGCATAAATGAGCTCTAATATTTTGGTGTCGGACATAGTGAAGAGGCTGAGCTCACCCTCAATGTGCTGAGCAGTGGTGGCGACCGCCGAGGTCACCTTGCTCACCACATTTTGTGCTATGCCTAGCATGGTTGATGGAAAATGGCTTACTAGCTTAGCTCTGGGGAAAAAAGCTGAAGGAAGAACACAGAAGGATGGCTTATGAACAAGGGCTAGTGGGCTGTTCCGTGCAGTTCATTGCTGCCCAGTGCCTCTATTTATAACCATGTTCATCTCGGAATTTAGCAGATAAGTGTGGCCCAGCTCTATAGAAAAACGACACTTCTAGGATCGTTATGTTTTAAGAGGCACGTGAATAATTTCCGTGACTTTTTAGCCACAATAGTTTTTAGGATTGGTATAACTCCTCATGTTGGTAACTGATAATGAAAATCGATACGAGTAGTCCATGAATTTGTTCACCCTAAATTATTTTAGTTATTTCGTGAAAAATCTGTTAATATTCTTGTTAAATTGTCATATGAACGACCATATGACCACATTTTAAGGTATTTTTGTCAAACCAAACTCATGGACCACTTCTATCGATTTTTATTGTCAAGGATCAAAGTGAGAAGTTATGTCAATCTTAATGAACATTTTGTTAAAATGCCTATTTTTTGATGAACTCCGCCGTGTAAGTTTATCTTACATTGCCGGTCCCAAGCCCGGATAAAGGAGGAGGGGGAGGGCGTCAGGTAGTCGACAGCCGGCACTCCATGATCACGTCGAATCCTTATGAAAATGAATCCAGAACGAAATCGCGCTAAAGCTAGGGCGTCACCCGTAAGTGGCGCGCTGTGTGGCCCGAGCACAGTGATAAGTGAGCAAGGGTCGCTGTATCTCCATCGGCACCCAGATGCAGTGTTAAATGAGCAAGGGGGCTATAGAAACTTCTTTTCGAACGACTCCACTCAAAGTTGTTTGGGAGCATATGCTCCTATCAACTTTACACGGGACACACAAAAGAAGTACTTTGATCCTATTAGACGGGGAAGGGTGAAGAAGCTAGGACAGAAGGGTAGAGTTCAAGAGAGCAAAATGCGTTTAGGAACGTGGAATATAGGAACCTTGACGGGAAAAATCTATGGAGTAGTAGTAGAAGTTATGGTGAGGAGAAGGATAAATATTATGTGCCTACAAGAAACTAAGTGGGTTGGGCGTAAGGCAAAGGATCTAGAAAACTCAGGGTTTAAACTATGGTATTCGGGCACAAAATAGAACGAGAAACGGTGTTGGCATCATCGTGGACAAGACCTTGACACAAGATGTTGTAGATGTCAAGAGGGTAGGAGATAGAATCATGGCAATCAAGATTGTAATAGGACAAGAACTTATCAATGTGATTAGTGCGTATGCACCTCAAGTAGGGTTGGATACGAGTTCGAAGGAGAAATTTTGGGAAGACCTTGGAGACTTGGTGCAAGGAATTGCTCAGACGGAGAAGTTATTTTATAGGAGGAGATTTAAATGGACACGTGGGCAGGGAGACAGGCAACTATGGAGGTTTTCATGGTGGCCATGGTTTTGGGGAGAGAAACGAGGATGGGGAAGCTATCTTGGATTTTGCAATGGCATATGATCTCTTCTTAGCCAACACCTTCTTTAAGAAGCGGGAAAGAACATGTGATCACCTACAAGAGTGGGTCGTCAAAAACACAAATAGATTTTCTTCTAATGAGGAAAAGGGATCGTATAACTTGTAAGGATTTGCAAAGTTATACCAGGAGAGAGCGTGGCTAATCAACATCGCTTGTTGGTGATGGATGTACATATCAAAAGAGTGAGAAAAAAGAACAAGACTTGGAAGTGCCCAAGGACTAGATGGTGGAATCTAAAAAGAAGAAAAACAAGCCATTTTCAAAGAGAAAATAATCACCCAGTGTGTGTGGGATAGAGAGGGGGAAGCTAACCAAATGTGGGATTCCATGGCTAGTTGTATCCGAAAAGTAGCAAAAGAGGTATTAGGAGAGTCCAAGGGCTTTGCCCCACACCAAAAGGAATCTTGGTGGTGGAATGAGGAGGTACAAACAAAGGTGAAGGCTAAGAAGGAATGTTGTAAAGCCTTATACAAGGATAGGACCGATGAAAATGGTGAAAGGTATAGAAAAGCGAAGCAAGAGGCGAAGAAAGCTGTGAGAGAAGCTAAGTTAGCGGCTTATGACGATATGTATAAACGACTAGATACCAAAGAAGGAGAGTTGGATGTCTATAAACTAGCTAGAGCAAGGGAAAAGAAGACAAGAGACCTAAACCAAGTGAGGTGCATCAAGGATGAGGATGGAAAGGTTCTTGCTACAGAGAACGCGGTTAAAGACAGATGGAAAGGTTATTTTCATAATCTTTTCAATGAAGGACATGAAAGGAGTGCTTCTTTAGGGGAGTTGAGTAACTCAGAAGAGTGTAGAAACTACTCTTTTTATCGTAGAATCCGGAAGGAAGAAGTGGTTGTAGCTTTGAAGAAGATGAAGCATAGAAAAGCAGTAGGCCCAGACGATATACCAATCGAAGTGTGGAAAGTTTTGGGAGAGACAGGTATAACATGGCTCACTGACCTTTTCAATAGGATTTTGAAAACGAAGAAGATGCCAAATGAGGATGCTTCGTTGGATGTGTGGGCACACGAGAAAGGATAAGATTAGGAATGAGGATATTCGGGGTAAAATAGGAGTAGCCGAAATTGAAGGAAAGATGAGAGAAAATCGGTTACGGTGGTTTGGACATGTGCAAAGAAGGCCTACTGACGCTCCGATTAGAAGATGCGACTATGGGACAGAGGTTCAGGGCCGAAGGGGTAGAGGAAGACCCAGGAAAACTTTGAGAGAGACCCTAAGAAAAGACTTAGAGTACTTGGATCTAACGGAGGACATGACACAGGACAGAACACAATGGCGTTCTAAGATTCATATAGCCGATCCCACTCAGTGACTTGGATTTTCCAAGTCTCCAACCGAGAAGTTGTCCTCGCTCGGGAAAATTAAGGGAACACTACCTCAACCTACATGCTCCACTCACAAAGCTCCAACATACAAGCTTCAACAAAAGAAAATTCAAAGAACTTAGCGAAGAAGGCTTTGGTGATTTAACACAATACGTTGAAATGAAGGAAAGCTTATTTATTGATATCCCCGATAAAATTACAAAATATGTACATATACTTAAGTCAAAATAAACAAACAAGAGGGAGCCTTCACAAAGGTTGCTTAGGAGAAGTCTCGGCAGTCGGTAGAGCCCCAGAAAGAGAAGGCACCGGAGGGGGATCATTCGGAGCCTCAGTACTGGACAGAACCCTAGAAGGAGGAGGCATCAGAGGTTGATCATTTGGAGCTTCATTACGCGGCACAGCCCCAGAAGACGAAGGCAATAAATGCCTTTGGAACAAACCCACAAATCTTTGATGATCAAGTAAAACCTGACCATCAGATTCCTTCATCTGGTCAAGCTTCCTCTTCATGTTTGTAGCATAGTCATGTGCGAGCCGGTGCAACTGTTTATTCTCATGCTTGAGCCCTCTAATATCCTGTTTGAGACTCATCACTTCAGCCGCCAATGATTCAACTTGGCGGGTTTCGAGCAAATAGGCGTTGGGCCATATTAGACACAGAACCTGCACACTGAACACTAAGAGCCAGAGAAATCCTTAACAGCCAACTCATCAGACCGTTTGGAAAGTAGTCTGTTTATCTTTGGGAGTGAGAAGGTTCCTGGCCACTACCGCAGCGGTCATATCATTCTTCATCACGGAATCCCCAACGGTAAGAGAGGACCAGTAGGGGAGACGAAGGATGGGCGCCATATGTTGTCTGGAGAAGGCGGGGCTGCCTCTTCAACAAGGTTCAAGTCAAAACGACGACGGTCGGAGGGGCCAGACATTTTCAAAGGTGTAGAAGAGAGAAGAGGTCGGACAAATCAAGATCTTAGAAGTGCAAGAATGGAGCTTCTACTGGTGGATATTCAAGTGTGCTTTGGAACTTAATGTCAGCCTCTATAAAAATCTGCACTCGACGAAGCTTCAGAAATCGAAGAGGCGTTTGCTTTCTCAAAAGCTGGGCTGCTCAGAGACCACGAGGGTCGATCTCAGAAATCGAAGAGGCGTTTGCTTTCTCAAAAGCTGGGCTGCTCAAAGACCACGAAGGTCGATCTCAGAAATCGAAGAGGTTTGCTTTCTCAAAAGCTGGGCTGCCCAGAGACCACGAGGGCCGATCTCAGAAATCGAAGAGGTTTGCTTTCTCAAAAGCTGGGCTGCTCAGAGACCACGAGGGCCGATCTCAGAAATCGAAGAGGCACCAACTTTTCCAGCCTTGTCAGCACCTGTCACACGCACATTCAGCTTTGCGGAAATTATGGGCATTCTGTCGAAGATTTCTGGCGAGTAGTAGAAAGCACATGAATCGTACTGTTCAATCATCCACTTCCCACACGCAACAGTAGCTCATGGGTACCACATATAACTTTGCCAAAGTTCTCTGACAAAGTTGAGACTACTTTTCCAGCCTTGTCAGCACCTGTCACACGCACACTCAGCTTTGCGGAAATTATGGGCATTCTGTCGAAGATTTCTGGCGAAGTAGAAAGCACATGAATCGTACTGTTCAATCATCCACTTCCCACACGCACACGTAGCTCATGGGTACCACATATAACTTTGCCAAAGTTCTCTGACAAAGTTGAGACTACTTTTCCAGCCTTGTCAGCACCTGTCACACGCACACTCAGCTTTGCGGAAATTATGGGCATTCTGTCGAAGATTTCTGGCGAAGTAGAAAGCACATGAATCGTACTGTTCAATCACCCACTTCCCACACGCAACAGTAGCTCATGGGTACCACATATAACTTTGCCAAAGTTCTCTCTGACAAAGTCGAGACACGTGAAGCTTGCAACTCTCACTACATCGCTCTGACCAAGAAGGGTAAAAGAATAGCAAAGAAACAACACTAACAAAGTTTAGACACATAAATTTTGAAGGCCTAGCTACCATATTATTACCCACAAGGGTAAAGGAACAGTACCACTGCTGGATAATTAGAAAGTCTCGGTGTGTCAACCTCTGTGCTTCATGGCAAGGTAGACTAGCAAACATGCCCAAC